GGGAAGTTTGCCCTTTTTACCACAAGGGGGTGGGTTCTTCCCCGTTGGGGGGGGGGGGGTTTTTTGGCCCCCCCACACCTTGTTTTATTGGCCCCCCTTTAGGTTTCCCCCCAAAAAAAAAACGGGGTTAAAAAAAAACACCGGTACCTTGGTAGCGGATTTCAGGGGGGAATTTGGTTTTTTTTAAAAGTTGGTTGCCAAGGGAGGAAAACCCATTCCGGTGGGCAACCCCGGGGGGGGGGGTTTTTTTTAAAAGGTGGTTCCCAAGGGAGGAAAACCCAACCCCGGTGGGCAACCCCGGGGGGGGGGGGTTTTTTTTAAAAGTTGTTTCCCAGGGGAGGAAACCCCACCCCGGAGGGCAACCCCGGGGGGGGGGGGGGGGTGTACTCATAGTCGTGCATGCCGTAGTCGTTTGACCATTGACCTCGCATCCCTACAAAGCCGGGACGGAGCACGCCGGGTTCTCACCGGACCAGGCTCTCACATCACCAAGCGCGAAGCGCCGTGAGGTATTTGGCGAGTCGCATGAAGGGTGAGCTGCATCCTGCTAAGGGTGTTCGGCATCTTGTGCTTACTTCCTTGCGTACGGATGACAGCTACGTATGACTTAATTTATTTTCTGGTGCTTTCACTTCCAGAGACAGTTGTAAGCACTGTGTAACTGCCTCGAGGAAGCTTGACCATTTTAACACAACGTGGTGCGATCATCCCCCGTTGCGCGGAGTGAGGTTTCTCGACCCCGCACAACATGATCTACTCGACCACCATTATGGTTACCGCAAAAAAAAAAAACGAGGTAAAAAAAAAAACGGTAACCTGGTTGCCGAGTTCACGAAGTGAATTGGCTTGTTTTACAACGTCGTTGCCAAGCGACGAAAACCCAATCCCGATGGCAAACACCGAGTGGGGGGCTTGTTTTACAACGTCGTTGCCAAGCGACGAAAACACAATCCCGATGGCAAACACCGAGTGGGGGGCTTGTTTTACAACGTCGTTGCCAAGCGACGAAAACCCAAACCCCGATGGCAAACACCGGGGGGGGAACCGGGGGGGGGGGGGGAGGAAAAAAAAAAAAAAAAGGGAAAGGAAAAGAAGGAAAAGGAAAAGGAGGAAAATGAAAAGAAGGAAAATGAAAAGAAGGAAAATGAAAAGAAGAAGAAGGAAACCAAGAAGAAGGAGAAGGAATAGAAGGAGAAGGAAAAGAGGGACGAAGGGAGATGAAAAGAGGAGGAAGTCAGAGTGTGTATGCTTCTCGTGTTCGTTTGTGTTGTGCTTCCCCTGGCGGGATCGAGGTCTTGGCACACCATCACGTGTCGTTGATCTCCCGTCTTTGTTCTTGTGTTCCGTCGGTGTTGTGCTTCCCCGGGCGGGATCGAGGTCTTGGCACACGATCCCGTGTCGTTGATCTCCCGTCTTTGTTCCTGCATTCCGTCGGTGTTGGGCTTACCCCGGGCGGGATCGAGGTCTTGGCACACCATCACGTGTCGTTGACCTCCCGTGTTTGTTCCTGTGTTCCGTCTGTGTTGTGCTTCCCCGGGCGGGATCGAGGTCTTGGCACACGATCCCGTGTCGTTGATCTCCCGTCTTTGTTCCTGTGTTCCGTCGGTGTTGTGCTTCCCCGGGCGGGATCGAGGTCTTGGCACACCATCACGTGTCGTTGACCTCCCGTCTTTGTTCCTGTGTTCCGTCGGTGTTGTGCTTCCCCGGGCGGGATCGAGGTCTTGGCACACCATCACGTGTCGTTGATCTCCCGTGTTTGTTCCTGTGTTCCGTCTGTGTTGTGCTTCCCCGGGCGGGATCGAGGTCTTGGCACACCATCACGTGTCGTTGATCTCCCGTCTTTGTTCCTGTGTTCCGTCTGTGTTGTGCTTCCCCGGGCGGGATCGAGGTCTTGGCACACCATCACGTGTCGTTGATCTCCCGTCTTTGTTCCTGTGTTCCGTCGGTGATGTGCTTCCCCGGGCGGGATCGAGTTCGCGACACACCCTCACACGGTGTTGACCTCCCGCTTTAGTTATGGTGCTCCATCAGAGGGAGTTTCTCCAGTAAGGGTGCAGGGCTCGACTCATAATCATGTGTCGATCGACCTCCCCTCTTCTGCTACGAGCTCGGGAAGGACATCTGGTTCCTGGCACCATCGACTATCTATTCTTCTGGAGTGGGATCTTCCTGGGACCGCAACTACCTCCGCAGCTGGCCTAGTGTTTAGGTGTACGAGGATATGGATGTATCGAAATATCGACGGTGTCGGTGATGCAACTGGTGGGATGTGGGTATTCATAGTGAGGGAAGTTGGCTATCCCCTTGTTGTCCGTGGTTATCTACGTATATGTTTCATCAAGCAATTGGGTAGGGCATGGTATCGGATATGCCTAGAAGCCTCCTTTTTGTGTTTTATGTTTATGTTTATTCTCGTCAAGCAATTGGGTAGGGCATGGTATCGGATATGCCTAGAAGCCTCCTTCTTGTGTTTATGTTTTATGTTTCTTCTCATCAAGCAATTGGGTAGGGCATGGTATCGGATATGCCTAGAAGCCTCCTTCTTGTGTTTATGTTTTATGTTTATTCTCGTCAAGCAATTAGGTAGGGCATGGTATCGGATATGCCTAGAAGCCTCCTTCTTGTGTGTGTGTTTATGTTTACTTTATCAAGCAATTGGGTAGTGCATGGTATCGGATATGCCTAGAAGCCTCCTTTTTGTGTCTATGTTTTATGTTTCTTCTCGTCAAGCAATTGGGTAGGGCATGGTATCGGATATGCCTAGAAGCCTCCTTTTTGTGTTTATGTTTATGCTTATTCTCGTCAAGCAATTAGGTAGGGCATGGTATCGGATATGCCTAGAAGCCTCCTTTTTGTGTTTACGTTTATGCTTATTCTCGTCAAGCAATTGGGTAGTGCATGGTATCGGACATGCCTAGAAGCCTCCTTCTTGTGTTGTGTTTTATGTTTTGATCTCATCTTATGTTACTCCAAGTGGTTGGGGAAGGCATGTCATTGGATGTGTCGTTGAGCCCAAGGTACTGTTAATGGATACATGAGTTGATTTTTTATAGGCAACGTCATTAATTTATTTTGCGTGGAGCAGAGTTGGGTGGGTCGGTGACTACAGAATCGTGTCATTCCCCAACTCTAGGCGATCTTCAGATGATAGTAATCCTGGTGTGCTCTTCAGATCTTAGCAGAACGCGACATTTCAAGTTTACTAGCAGGACAACCGAGAGAGACGGGACATTTAATAATACTGGTCAGTGCTGGTAGGAGGAAGAACAGCGTTGGGTGTCATCGGCAGGGCCTATGGGTCAGGGGTAAAACTCTGGTTTTCTATGGGGCTGTCGGTGGCATTCCAGGGTTGTTTAGAATCCTGCTTGGTTGAGGCGGTAGTTGGGAGTACCCGGGCAGAATGGTTCAGCAAGTTAGCAATTTGAAAGTACGTTTCCCGCGATTGAGAAGAGTTGGTTTCAGCCCATTAGTCTGGAACCGCAAGAAGTATGTCTTGATATGGGTGGGTCGGATTGGCCAAGAAGTGAAGCCTTTCACCCCTATTTCAGCAAAGTTCCCACTAGGATTTCAGTATGGATGAGAACCGTGTCCCGCATTTAAGTGCACAAAGTCGCAGTAAGAAACAAAATGTCGAAACCCGTGTAGGAGGGGCAAAGTATGATTATTATATGGAGTGGTTCTTTGTTTTTAAAGTATTTAGCAATGGAAAACGGGAGGGGGGGGAGTACTTTGATCATTTCGAAGAGCTTCCTACCGTTTTATGTTATTTTCTTTTCCACGAAAAAATTTAGGGGAATTGTTCCGCGAAGCAAGGGTGGGGCAATGTTGTAGGAAGCTCCGCAGATTGTAACCGTATGGTTGAAGTTATACCCGTTTCCCTGGAGTCCCCAAGGTATTTGGATTATTCTGATTTTTCAGAGCTCCTACAGCCAACCCCTTTGATCAGAAGCCGCTTGGCATAGCTTCGACAAGGGTTTAGGTGAGCGTGAGTGCCGTCCCCATAGCGTTGTGTTGAGTGTGACGCCTTAGCATAGCATTGGACAGCCTCGTGAGATTGGATAGATAAGCGGTTGAGTTACAGTAGGTGTTCTTGATGATCAGGAGTTCACCTTAGGCTGACTAAAAGAGACCACATTCGACTCTACCCCTTGTGCACAACAGAGACCCGTGATTGCATCACGAGCATCGACAGCGTTGACCAAACATCCCTTGGACCCGACGTGCTAGCAGAACCACCCTTGCTAGTAGAACCACACCTCACTTGTGATTGGTTCGCAGTGCTCCACATCAGAACACAAACCCAGTTAAAAGCTTATATCACACTACGTTGCTAGGTGTTTCGATCCTTTGGTTCGGATTTCGGAACAGAAAAGTGTTGGCGGCGTTTTGGTTCACACACACCTCGCGCGCGCACGGCGTTGAGGCCGACCGAAGTTGCAGCGGCCCGAGAGGAGAGAGCCCCGCCGCTTGTTCTGTCTCTCACGAGCTGACGAGAGCAACCATGCTTTTACTCCGGGTCCTTCCTCCTCTCTTGGTCGCACCCTCCTTCTGCCATGCGCTCCTCGCCCGCCCCTTCGTCGCGTATCCCAAGCACCCGCATGTTGTGTCATCCACCCCACATCATCGCCCTATCGCGCCGCATCGGCCCAACATGAACATGAACCAACCTGCAGAGGTGCCCGAGAAGCTGAGACAAGCAAACCTGAAAGCACACATTGAGGTCTGGGACAGCAGGCGAGACATGACGAGAGCCACACTCTCCGCTGCAAAGGCTCTGCGAGGGGCTCGGGAATCGATAGCGGGGGAGGATGTCGCGACTGACAGCTTGGTGGAGGATGGCAAGGGCTCGCTGGTGATTTCCGCCATTGCACTAGCGGTTGCAGCAGCAACGCTAAGGTTAGGGGGCCGGGCTGCGCTTGTTTCGGTGAGGAATTGTACAAGCCGGCACCACCTTGTGTGTGATGCGCCCCATTGAAAGCGTTTTTCATTGTGTCTGGGTACCTGCTGCTTTTTTTATTCGTCCACCAACACACTGCTGCAATTTTTGGACTCGAGGGTTGAGTCTCCACCGCGCGTGTGTGATGTACAGCGCGGGTAAGTAGTATTCGTTGCAGATTGGTGGAGAACACTGGCAGTCAAGGCGTCGCAATGCTCCCGATTCACCCCTCTTGGGTGGACTCGAATGTCCTCCAAGCCAGAGCATGAACCAACCTCAAGGCTACACGCACAGCAGTTCTTCGGCGGACCAGATGTTGTTGTAACCAGCGAAAGGGGCTGCCCTGGTGGCACAAAGTGACTGCTCTAATTCTTGTAACGGAACAGCCCCATGGCGGTCGTGGGGCGTACACGCCTATCGTAAAGCTCACGCCACAAGTTTTTGTCAGCACTCTACGCTGGCGTGATTGCTTCCTCTTCTTTTTGAGAATTTCTGCCTTGAGGCTCAGGAGGGTAGTGCTGCGGGAGATTTTAGGTGGACGTGTGTATCACGTGAGCGCAGCCTGACCGCCACTATTGAACCTTTTCCCCACCTGTGTTGCTCTTGCCATCAAGGCTAAGCGCAACAACAACGCCATTGCAAAGGCACCGACCCTCGTCGTTGACGTGCCATGCTCCTATTCCACTCTAAAACGATGAACACGTCTGAACCTTCCTCAACGCCAAAACTCCGTAGCCTTTGGCCGTCGAGGCTAAGACTAAGAGCGTAGCTCGTGGAGCCTCAACCCAGTACCGCCGTTGTTTTTTGGCGGCAGCAAATATGCTTAGCCGCTCTTTTGCCGCTCCACACAACGTTGTAAAGGCTCTCGGGCTGGACTTTGGAGAAGACACCGGCATCAAGGAGAATGTGGAGTCTTTCCTAGCGTTTTTCGACGGCCTGGGGCCAGTACGCTACGCTTACTTCCTTGGAGGCTGGTGAGACGTGCGTCAGTTACCCTAATTTTATTTTTATTTTTTGACGATCACTTTCTTCCGAGTTATTCCGTGTGCTAATTTCAACCCAAGACTTCATCGTGGTCGCGGGCCAGGGAGGAATCGACGGCGGAGGCCAGGGAGCGAAAAAATCAACGGCCGCATTGCGTGGCGTTGTGAGAGTTGAAGACTCTACTGTACAATATATCACGGCTGTGTGCACGAGATCGAGCTACAAGTACACGTCTCGCCCATCCCCACCGCCGCTCTATCCTGCCCCCCCCCCCGCCCAAAGCCGACTTCAAGAAATGGTCATGCCCGCTCAACGCGAATTATCCACTCATTTTCGAACCAGGTCGCAACAGGTCACCCAACTGCCCCTTCATACCTTACCATGCCAACTCAACCCTGACCGGGTCCTTTCCTTTCATCTCGAATAGTGATGTGCGGTCTTGGATTAGGCATGTAACTGCCGTTGCTGCTTCTGCTTTTGCTGGCTGATAGTTCTTGTGCCTGACGGGCTTTCCGCATGCCACGATATGATGGTCTTCGTCTGCCGATCATCCACTCAATTCTCTGTGACAATTTTGAGAACGATGTTAAGAACGATTCGAAACATTTTCCCCGGGAAACATGATGGTGAGACAGGAGTAAGATCCAGTACTCCGTTTCCCTGCTTCCCCTCTTTTTGCGGCATCCGCCACAAGGGCAGCGGATACTTTTCTTTTCTTCTGTGGAATTCCTGCCCATCATGCTGGTGGTACTGCTGTCGAAACTGGCATCGCAGCCGTCATGCCGAAACACGAATGTCGATAAGTGTGTTCGTGTGTTGGCGTGATTATTGGTCGCGTGTTTTTTTTTTGGATGGCATCGGCCACGCTTACTGGCTGACCACTAACAACACGCCGGTCGTTGCATTAGGATACAATACATCCCGAGCACACAAGTTTCCAGTCATCTGACCCCCTCCCGGCGCGTGTGCATGCCACCCTTTGTCGCAGGGTCGTCGCCAAGACGTTTTGCGTGGACTTCCTGTCGATCGTACTGGCTTTGGGGTCGGGGGTGGTGTTCGGGGGGGTGTTGCAGGGCGCGCTGGTGTCGACGGCGTGCGCGACGATTGCGTCCGGTCTGGGCTTCCAGCTCGCACGCACCACGCTTCGCACGCAGGTCGAAGAGCAGGTGAGGGTTAGGGCTCAGGATTATAGGTAGGTAAGGATAGGGTTCTTTGTTCTCTCTTTGAAGGGTGACACACGTGAGCTTTTTCGTCAGAGCTGGCTTTTGAGGTTCGAATGTGTAGCCGGAAAGAAGTGCAATGGATTGGGGCACTCTGTATGAGAGTGGGATCGGAGAGAGTATGAGCCGTCTGTCTGCAATTGTATTTGAGGTACGTTTCTGACGAAATCGGCCCGCACCAATACATTAGCCCGACTACGGTCTCTGTCTTTTCGACTGCCTCTCACAATGATTTGGGGTGCCGAACAATCCTCTTTGCTCGCTTCAAGATGCGCCATTGGAATCTCTTCACAAATATGCAGGTACAACGGGGATGTACCTCCCAAATGTTGAAGTTATATATTAATCCAACGCAGGTTTTTCTCAAATCTCTCGCACGGAGGAGCAGGAGCTCAGCATACAAACCTCCGATTTTTGGATGTCGTGTCAGTTTGTCAAGAGCACACACTCCCGCTGCAGGAATCGCTTAACGGGTACGTACGGCATTTCCACAGCCCCTTTGACTCGTACGCCATCGTCTACCGTACGTCTTGCGCCACAGCTGGAAAAGCGACCGGCACTGCGAGCTTTGGAGAAGGTGGTGTCCGAGGAAGGCTTCAAGACCGTTGTAACGCTCAGGCTAGCACCGGTGCTGCCCATCCCGCTGGGGGCATACAATTACGGTGAGTGACAAACAGAAATGATTCATGGCGAGGGTTCTCCGTTTTGCCCGGCCGAAGACCGATTAGGAAATACCAACACATAAATGCAGCGATCTTTTGAATCCAATTACCTCCCGCGCTACATTACATGTTTTTATCACCCGCCCTACTCGTCGCACGCAGTTCAAGGAGTAGGACTCTATGTTTTTTGGATCCCGTCTGGTCAGGGTGCGTCATGTGGCGCATGTACCCCAAGCGCGGGAAGGAGCTGCTAGACTTGTTGTGTCGACAACCGACAATTCTGCATGGATGCCAGTGTCGCCGTTTGGCGTATTGCAAGACTGCGGCGTGTGCGTGTATCCCTTCGTATGGTAGCGTCGCCGAATTGCTACTGTGTTCCCCCAGCCAGTGACATAAGTCACCACATCGTAACCGCTGTTGCCTAGCTGCCTGTTGCTGGGCACGTGACTCAAAAAGGCAACGTGCTCTTTGGAAAATCACGTTGTTTTAGGGGAACCCCACCAGGAGCGGAGCGGAGTATGGCAGTCCGCCCCCCTCTGACGTTGCGCAGCAACCTTAGGCGTAGCAGCATCCAAGCAGATCGGCTGTCCTTAAGGATACCGTATTGGCCCACCTTCCTCTCCACCGCCACACTCCGGTGACGAGGGAACGATTCTCGCAAACAAGTTTGTTCTTTTCCTGGCCCGAGGTGTCGCAACACGAGGCACAATAGTCGTCGGCTTGGACTGGTGCACGCACTGCTGCTGTGCAGCCCTTACGACTGCTGTACGGTAGAGGCTCATCGCCTTGGCCGGGGCTTGATAGCTCGATTTCGTCTCGCCGTGACCTTAGAGCTTCTGTCGAGCCTATAGCATATAGCGATGCTGACCTTTTCCGCGTGGAAGTCACGCGAAAAGGCAATCCTTTCATGACCGAGTCGTCCAATATGATGTCTCGTTTGCTTAGAATGTCCCGTTTGCTTTTGTGTGCGTAGAAGTCACGCCAGAAGGCCGATCCGTTCATGAGCGAGTCATCCAATATGACGTCCCGTTTGCTTTTGTGTGTTTGCTTTGAACTGGTGGGACCGTTCCTTGTTTGGCGCATACGACGTGCACTCGTGCACTCGTACGGATGCGCACGCCGCTGCAGTCTACGGGACGACGTCGCTGCCGCTGCCCGTGTTCCTTTCGGGCATGGCCGTCGGGTCCCTCAAGCCGTACCTCCTCGACAGCTGTGAGTCATTTGGCGTTTGCAGGACTTGGGGCCGGATCGTTTTCAGAGTTCCGCTTGTGTCCCGATTGTTTTTCTTGCCCCCAACCTAACCGCTGTCTGGTCGAGCCGCGAAATGCATTGAGTTCACGAAAAACACACGGGTCTGTGCGGCCCTCGTGGGTAGTCTGTTGGTTCCACACGCATGCTCGCAAGCACGCTCAAGTTGTAGTTTTCTCTCCATACAGCCGTCAGAAACGTTTGTGCATGTAATTTAGAAACGCCGTAGTTCCTGTGCATTCTCGACACCAAGAGCTCTTGAGTAGCGTATTCCGGCCACGTGTGCGAGAGCGTTGTGGTGCATAGTTTCGAAATCGCGTGTTTGTCTTCAACCAGTTCTAGCAGGATCGTGGTTCATGGCGTGCGGGTTTGTTCCAGGTATTTATCATTTTCGACAAGGCCGACAACGTGCACATGCACGTGGACAAAAACTTGCGCTGTTCAGCACCCCACACACGAGTACCCCCCATGGACCACGAAATTTGATTTGCTGGGGTTCATGGTGACGGTTAAAACATTCGTGTTGCATGCGGTCCTCATGGGTGCATTTGTCCTCAGATGTGGCCCCAGCAGCCGTGAACATGCCAGGAAGACGTCAACGGACGGGATAACGAGTCCACTCATTCGCTCAACAACACGGAAGGGCTATAGCGGCACGTTAGTCGGACGCGGATATGTCGTCATGATCGCAGACGCTGTTATTCGAAATAGCGAGATTTCTGTACGGAGAATCGCCACATGTACAATTGCTCCGCAAGGGGCCCCTTCCCCCCAGTACGCGTTGAGGTAGAGTGCCAAGCACACTGAAAACTCGCGTTGCTGTGGTTCACTCTCAAAGTTGTCGCTTCACTCGCGCCTGACGGCCACAGATCTAGGTGTTTTCGGCAAGCAGATGGTGGATGGAGAAGCCGGCGTTGGAGGTGATCTGGCGCTAGTCGGCACATTCTTCGTCGTCGTCCTCGTGGGGACCTTCGCTAGTCAGGTGAGAAACGGGAGAAATGTTTTTGTTATTGTGTGTGTTGCTTACTCGGTGTGGCTTCGGGAACCACCAACGCTAGGTATGGGATGCTGGACGCCGACATGTGTGTTATATCGCCGCGTCATCTGCTTTTTGGTTGGCAATAGGACTTCAGATGCTTAAGTCTTTTGTGTGCCAAAGTCGCAGGGCTTGCTTCCCTAGTTGCAGACTCTTTGCCTTGAAGTTTCCGCTCGGAAACATTGTCTCAAATACGGCTTCGTGAAATGGGATTTTATCGCACTGCTGCTGCGCCCTTGTGAACGTGAACTAGCTGTACATGTTTCGAGGCGATGTCGTTCCTCAGGAGAAAATGTTGACATTGCTCGGTGTCAAGGTGAACGCAGAGGCAGGCTTTTATCATTGTTTTTTGCAAGGAGAGTGAAATGTGTGAATCTGCATTGTCCTTTCGCCTATCGCGGACCTCTTTTGGCGCCTCAGGTAGCCAGCCGCACTTGGGAAGAACTCAACGCAGAGGCCGAAAAGTCGATGCCGACAGCAGCCGAGACGAATACCCCCCCCGGTGGGGTTCCATCAGCATCTCAGGAAGGTGGTGGCGGCGGTGACGGTTTGGAATGGCTAGATCTCTGGGGCATCGAACGCTCGTCCTTGCCTGATTGGTTCACCACGTGGAAGGCCAAAGACAACGCCGTCCGAAGCAAGATCCGAGGCGTTGTGAAGCAAGAGCGGGAATATATGGAAGGCAGAGAGGCGGCTGAAGGGGAAGGGGTAGACGGGGCAGAGTTACCCCCGAAGGAGTCGGGATTACCCCCGCCGGGCCCCCCTTTGCTCGACGAAAGCGGGCGATTTTTCGACCTGGGTGCCTATGTGTCGGAGAGCACGGTGTTCCCGTTTGTGCTGATAGAGTCGTTTTGGGAGTACAGCAACCCGAAGCTGGCGAGAGGCGAGGAGGGGGTGGTGGCAAAGTAGAGCTGTGGTGTCTGTGGCAATAAAGTCGGAACGTCATGTATTGGTACACGCGTGGTTGCCTGAAAAGATTGTAGATAACTTCCCGCTAAGAACCGATCGATACCTTCACACAAGGATCAGCTTTGGAACTATTACGGCACCGCTTCATGGTTTCGTCCGCAAACACGACGCGATACTCATGGACCCACGATAGGGATAATTTTCAACCCTCTTGTTTTAGACACCGATTCCCGGCTTTTGCAAGAAAATACTACAGTAGTATCTCGCAGTCAAATGCGTTTCGGCCGTGCATGTCGCTTACGCAACATCATGCATCGTTAGGACGAACCGAGCATGGCCTTGGCCCAACTACATACAGTAGGCCACCTTCCCTCTGTACACCACGCCCCTTCTCATGGCACTCATTCGGCACCCAACCCCAAAAATTGTTGAAATATTGGCAGGTTGTACCCTCTTCACCTTGTTGGGTGTGTCATATGTAGCTTGTGGGTTAGATCGTCTTCCCTTACCTATGCGCCCTGCTTGATATGCTCGCCATACCACCACCAGCCTGCCACAGAACCGTACTGATAGATCAATACCTCCATCTCAACTGGGTTGCAGTTTTTTTTTCCTGGGTGTCGGGAATGGTCGGCATCGTGGAATCTCTGTCGAGAATCACATATGGCCCAAAACCAGGGTCGACTACACACCGTCTTCATATACTCCGGATCCTCCGAGCGATTTATTTCCTCTTGTAGCATACGGCAACACAGCTACTCATAAGTAAATGCTTTCTGAAAGGGGTCATGTGTCCGCAGATGGGAAGGACACTGTCCCGGGACTCGACTCCGTTCGTCCAACATTGTGACTCTCACGGCACGGTTGTTTTGTTCAACCAGCACTTTTCATTCCGCACGGACTCGTGCTGTACATAATCTTTGAAATACAATTGGGGATAATGAGCATCATATGTCTCGAAAGCACAAAGCAAGCGGTTTTGATATGAATCCATCCTGCCTTCATGGGGGGTCGATGATGTCAATTACTGAGTACTGTGGCCAACACACCGAGTACTAACTTGCTACAACAAGTAGGTGTAGCGAACTCCCTGGTATGCATACGAGAGCGCGCGCGTGCTAGAGAGAGCGAAGAGAGAGAGAGAGAGAGGCGAGGGTACAAGAATAGTACGTGTTCTACCTTTTCCATACCTTTCTTCTGCCCCCAGCTATTATTTGTTCCTTTCACACTACTACAGCAGCCGTATGCCGAAACACGTTCGAAAGTTCGGAATCGGAGATGACAATTTTTTTTTTTGCGCGCCGCACGCCAGAGGAACACACACACGGACATCAAACTGGATTGGACTGGGAGAGAGAGAGAGACGGGGTGGGTGGGTCGGTAAGCACTGCTACTGTAGAAGGGGTTCCCTGGTCACCGACGGCAGCGACTTGAGCTTCAAGGGTCCCTGTTCTGCTCGTTCCCAAACTTCATTTCAAATCTGATGTAGCACCCCGCTCCTGTGTACAGCAGGAGGGTAGGCCATGGGCATGGGCTTCGAGTGCAGCTTGTGTGTGAGGTGCCATCGTGCTACATAGGCCACACCACACGTGCGAGATAAGGCAAATAAATACTGCTATGCTCCCATCTTTGAGGGAGTCCTGCAATGGGAGAAATGCCAGCTCACCACTATTACCTGTCCCCTTGTCCGTCTCATCTCGCCGCTGCTGTGTCGTCCATGTGCCGCTCGCTGCAAGCTGAGGGCATGAGCACCAGTACCGGCCGCCGCCGAAAGCTGGTTGGGCCAAGCTCACGAGGTGGTCGCTCGAGGCAGAATGGTGCTTTCCCGCTGGTGCGTATTCGAGGGTTGTGCACAATGTTAGACCATCTTGTGCTATGTAGTCTACAGTAGATGCCCCTCGGACAACTTCTTGTGAAACCTCTCGTTACTTGCTGCGGCAAGACGTACTGTAGCAGACGTACACCCACTGTTTCACTGCTGTAAATCACAACTCACATTCCCATGCATTCCCATCGCAACGGCCTAAAAGTAACACGCCCTCAACTCCCTACTGTGTAAGCGAAGACAAGCCTACAAGCATTTATCTATAGAGCAGCGGTCCAACCTCAGACGTTCTCCCGCAAAGATATCGGCGTGCTCGCTCCGTCCGCTGTGTAAGCGCATCACCGCGGCCAACTATCAAAGGACATATTGCTCCCTGTGCGAAGCATCTCTTGAATAGGCGTTGGTGGCATGATAGAAACCATGAGATACTCTCCGTGGTTTCATGCCTTGAGCTGTGAGATGGACATTCACTTGACTACATGTACCTGGTTCGCATTTAATCCATCTCTATGTCTGGGGCGTATACTCAGACCAAACTGAGGCACGCAGATATCGATGAGCAGAACAGGAAGCTGCGCTCGGACAACGACACTCTACGGACTCAAAACTCAGATCTTGCCAAGGAACTGGTGGGTGATTTTTGCGGTGGTGGGAAGCGGTGGTGAAACTGTCAGTGCAAACGTCCTCGTGTTCATATTTTGAATGGTCGGAAACTTCACTTCCCAGCTCACAATAACTCCAAACTTTTCATTGCGGCGTTCTCACAGTCACTGCTCCCCAGTTATTCAAAAGGGCGATTCCCCATTAATTCCGACAGTACCACCTAACCAGACATCTCTACCATCGCCTGGACATTGGGGGCCGGTTCAGCCATGGGAACGGTGTCTAAGAGTAGCTTCCTCAAATTCATTCCGTGGCTGCCATTTTGCCATGGTCCATGTCACGAGGCGCTCTCTTAGCCGTGGCATTCAAATCCGATACGGGACACCGTCACTATCGTTCAAACCGAACAAGTGTCTCAAGTCCGCTTTACTCGATACCGTGTTTTCACGGGAGAAAATAGCATCAGGGTTGAATGGAATCCTCTGAGAAATACGGCGGCTCCCTGATTCTCCCGCCGTTTCTGCCATACACGTTTCGTTGAACTGTCGATTCTCGATCCAAAATCAGAACGAATTCAAGGTCAAGTATCAAGCGCTGCGGCAAGAGATGCGTCAACTCTGGAGAGAGTCCACGCAAGTCAACCGCAGCAGAAGACTATCCGAAGCTCCAGTCGGTGACACCGCCGGGACGATGGTATCAATTCACTCACCTCCGTCAGCCCCAGTTGCTCCCTCCGGTACCACCACCACGAGCACAACATCTGCAGAGCCGTTCGGAGGGTACGGGTGCCGAATGGGGTACGAGAGGGAGAGAGGGAGGCCAAACAGTAGACGCAAGCCTATGTTCGGAGTGGGTGCCTCCGACAAAGAACCAGTAGTCTATGAGCTCACTTCACATGGTAACCCGTTGTTTCACAGTGATTGGGTTTCATGCGCATGACGCTCAGGCTTTGACGACTACGGCGTATGGAATATTTGACCGTTAATTCGAGCAAATTTTGGTTGAGGCGGTTATTACGAACACACACAACCCTTTCATCTCGTTGATAGACAACCCGATTCGCACAGTCCGGCTTGGAAACTTCCTGCATCCGTTGTGGTTGAGTGGTGAATAATAAAAATATGCTCCCATCTGCTCAACACCCATGCTCCCATCTATCAGTGAGGGTGACGGACGTAAGGAAAGCCTACGCGACGCCGATGAACTTCATGGAACGGAAGAGCCGCCGTCGGTACCAGTTTCTAACCGGCGAGGGAGGTATGACCGTTCTCATTCATCGCGGTTCATTTCATTTGACGCTGTTTCGTTGTTGCCGCTGTTGCTGTTGTTGCTGCTGGATCTTGTTGCTGTTTGTTTTGTCACTCTCATAGCCCTGTTCCGCCCTACCTTGCGACTGTGCCGGGGGTGCAACATTGCCGCTGAGCGAACGGCCGTCAGCTAGCATCTCTTCATAGACGAGCAAAAGCAAGCCTCCTCTGCCGCACGCTTGTCACTCCAAGTTTGGACACACGAGAGGCATTTTACTCGCTCCCCGTACCACGGTGTCCCCCAAAGAGTTCCTTTGTACCTGCCGATCGAAGTGGAGATATTTACCCCCTTATGTACTACGCCAAGACCAACGTCTTTCCGCCACCCAATCCTCCCGACGGAATCTTCTCCTTCCAATCAGCATTAATAATAATTCTGATGTACACACACCCGCGTCTACCCGCGCAACACGTCGCAGCCACTCCCCTCTGCTACATTACACTTATCTCTGCCTTTTTTGTCTTGCTCGCGACCCACAGGAGATCTTCCATCCTGCCGAACACGAAAATCCTCCAGGATCATCTCCGCCTCAGCGAACAGCCGCACAATCGCCCACCCCTCTTGCCCCCGAGGGGAGGGAGCAAGGAGAATGAGCACCACGGGCGGCAACAAACTCCGTCATCACCGCCGACGAGGACCCCGCCTCATCCATTACCTTCGAATCATGCAGGAGCTGCTGCTGCTGCTACTGGTTCGCGGTCGCCGGAAGGAGCTGGTGGAGCAAGTCGTGGCAGCAGCAGCGGCAGCAGCAACAGCAGTAGCAGCAGCGCGTGCCGTCTCTCAAAGCCGCCTGAAGACGAAGGGCGGTCAAGTAGCAACAGGGGCAGGACTTCTCGATCCCTGGAGCGCTCAGGTAGCGCCGGGGACGGGGATGGGGCATCTCGGACGTTGGACCTTTCGAGGAGTGGCGGCGAAGAGGAGGACGCTGGAGGGGATGCATTCCTTAAGGCCTCGCCGGAAAACCGGGGCGCTCAGCCGGCGAGTGCAGTGATTCGGACAAAGCCGTGCAGGAAGCAGACGGCAACGACGATGACAAGTTTGCTTTGATGCTGTTGTATGGCCTTCACCTGCACTTTCTGCCACAAACCTTTCGCACACAAATCGACAATCACAAACTTACTTCTGTCCAGATTCCGCGTGTGCTTTCAGTTGTAGCAAATACTGTCGCTACCATCAAGGACTTGCAAACCCAGCATGGTGGCATCAGAATGTATTGCAAGGATTTTCTCTCCCATGGAATGTTTCAAGGCGAAACTGAAATCCC